GGTTCCCTCCCTACGTCGGGAAACGCTTTTCGAATGCGAGGGTGGCTGAGGAAGGGTTGCTTCCTCCTTAGAGCTATTCGAAACCCGTTTATCCGCCGTCCTGGGTGGGTGGCTCTGTGCAGCCCTCCCCGAGCAACGGGGTTGGACCAGATGGACCCCCGAGGTCCCTTCCAGCCTCCACCTTTCCAAGGTTGGGTGGTATCTCGAGGCCCTGCCTGCTGCACAGGTACCGGGGCTGTGGCCGCTGGGAGAGAGGCCGGAGCGGTGCTTTCCTGAGCTGTGCCCCACGGTGCACCCTCACCCGGGCAGAGGGGCTTGTTCCGTGGCTTCTGGAAGAAGGAGTCCACACGAGCCTTCCTTTCCTTCCTTCTGTCTGCAGAGATGCTGATTTTTGGAGGAGACATCTTGAAGTTTGCCGGTAGGTACTTAGGACGACGATGCCCGCGGGTACTGATCTGCAGCATTTAACTGCTGTGGCGGCCATTTGCTCTGCTCTCCTTCTCAAGAGGCTCTGTGCAGCACCTTGAGCCAGCTTTCTGGCCACGCACGCATTCCCCCCAAGCAGCACCCTTTCTCCAACTTTCTCCTTTTCTCCCAAAAGCCCATCTTCCTCAGCGCGTCGCCCAGTTTCTGCTGTCCCTGCTGCTGAGCGTTGCTCGGCTCGGGTCTCAGCAGAGCCTTTACCTTTCATCGCTTTCCCCAGGGGATGCTGTGCTGGTGCTGTGGAGAACACAACCCCAGGAGCTGGCTAAGACCATCAGCCTGGTGCTGCAATGTAGCCAGCAGATCCAGGCGAAGTACGGCGGTCGCGACACGCACGTGGGTCAGAAGATGCGACTGAAGATAGGTACGGGCGCTGTGCCGGGCGCAGGTCTGTGGCACTCTCCCATGGCTCTCCAGGTTGCTTCTCAGGAGCAGGGAACGCGGGGATCCTTACTGGGGCTAGTGCCAAAGGAAAGCATCTCCCGGGAGCCTTCAAGGGGCCAGCTGTAGTGGGAGCGGGGATGGGAGACCGGGACCGCTGGCTTTGCGTGTGTTTGCAGATGCGGAGGAAGCTTAAAGGCAGAGCGGGTGTCGGATCAAGTGTTAGGCTCTTGGAACGTCTGCTTTAGCACAGATGTCTGTGGGAGGTAGTTATGCTTTCATTTTTTTCAGGTGGGGGCAGCTGTGCATCCCTTCCCCTGCTGCGTTCTCCCCTGCCTTTCACGAAGAGCAAAGGGGAACTGTGAGAAGGGCTTTTGCAGGCTGTTGTGTTTTCTCCAGCAGAAAACCAGCTGCGACCTGCCTGCATGTACACGGAGCAGGCAGTGATCAAACCCGCTGTTTTGCTGGGTTTCTGGGGCAGGCAGCTGGGTAAGACGCCCGGCCCTCTCCACACGTTGTCAATGTTGACTTTTTGTCTCTTTCTAGACACCCGTTTCAGGGACCTGTGTCAGTATCCCCCGAGCAGGATGGAGGGATGCTCCCCCCCACCAATAACGCCCGTCTCCTCATTGGGCCTCAGATGAGCTTCTGAAGAGCTGAGATGCTGGGAGCTGTAGAGCTCAGGACGTTCCCTGTGTCAGTTCCGCTTCTCTCTCTCACCAGGGATCTCTGCAGGGCCCATGAGCCTCCTGCTTGTCGGAGACAGGAGGCAGAAGTACTTCTTTATCTGTGGCAAGGTCCTGTCTGAAGTTTGTGAGGCCGAACGGCTTGCGAATGCAGGTGAAGTTATCCTCTCGGCCCCCTCCTGGGAGCTCTGCGAGCAGCGCCGGCTCAGGACCCAGCGTCTTGCAGGCCAAAGAGCCGTGAAGGTAGGTGGATGGGATGGCGTCTAGAGCCATTCTGAGGACCCGCATCCTGGACGTGAAGGAGGGAGGTGTCAGAAGGCTGGTTGAGGAGCCGAGTGTCGAGAGAGAGCCGTAGCTGTGAAAGTGGGCAGGCAGCTGAAGCTCTTGTCCTCCCTTCTCGGGGGTAACTGTGGGCTGGGCTTGCTTGGTTTGAGGGGTCGGGAGGCATGGGAAGGGTTTTGGCCCCACCAGCAATGTCCTCTGTGGGTCGTGGAGCCGTTGTTGAACAGTTGGGGGATGCCTGCCCAGCTCCGGTGCTTCTGAGGAAGCACTGCTGTCCTGTGCAGCCAGGTGGGCTTGTCCCTCCTCTTTTCTGGGCAGTGATGGTGGAGGGCAGGCTCCGTCCCCTGGGACTCCTGGGGAGACCGGTGGCAGTGCTTCCATTCTGTGTGTCTTCAGGTTATGGGCATGGTTCAGATGTCTCGGTCAGAATGCCAAGAAATTTTACGCAAGCTTGTACAACAGCCGGTGAGCCACGGCTTGGAAAAGGAAGGTGAGCGCCAACTTCACCTTGTTTGTGATTGCCCGGAAAGGTGGCTGCTTCAGGGGCCAGAGAGGAACCACCTCCGTCCTCTCCCCTCCTTTCAGTTAGCGCTCAGGCTTTTGGCCCTCCCGTGCACGAGCTGGGGCAGTCGCTGCTGCTGCCTCCTCCTCCTTCCAGGGGACGGCTCTGCCCTGAGCATCTGGAGGTGGGAACATGAGCAAACGCAGAAGACTCTTTCACCTGCGTTTCCAGTGCCAGCCCCTACTTTCCAGCACCTCGTAGTCTCATCCTCCCAGCAACCACCCGCATTTTCTCTCCTCAGGTGCCATGAGGCCGGCTTTTTTCCGCTCTCATCCTAACGTGGAGGAGGTGCCTAGGGAGTACGTACCAGAAACTGCTCTCCGGAAGGTACGGCCAGGCCACCGCTGCTGGGGGGCTGCGTTTTTGGAGGGCAGAAGAAGCGTTGCATTGCAGAGATGGAGCTCTCACGAGAACAGACAAACAAAAGAAAATGCACCTTGCGACGACAACGCGGGGAAACTGAGCCAAGGGGCACCAGTGCTGCACCATTGTGTGCATTGTCCTCAGAGAGACACGGGTGGTGGCGGGCGGACTTCTCTCTCTCTCTCTCTCTCGGCTTTTCCGTGGCTATGGTTCTGGATGTGTTGCGGACGTGATGGTGGGATAATGGGAAGATTCCGCTGAAGTCCCTAGAGCATCCCTGAGGCTTGCCCCTCGTGTCCATCCCTGTCCCGAGATGGCGTGTTACTGGAACACCTTTCCCTCCTTTGTCGTTTGTGTTACATTTCGGTATCTGCCTGCCGCAGGCTGGGCAGCCTGCCCGTTATTTGCACCGAGAGGAAGATTTATCCCTTCCCCCGGTAGTATCTGCTATTGCCAGTACGCCTGCTCTCCCTCGGTATCTGGTGTGGGCAGTAAGCCCCCAGGGGAGACCAGGCTCGTGAAGTCGTCATGCTCTTGTCTTCCAGTTTGATGACAGAGCGCCGCTGGACCTCTTCTCTGAGCTACGGCCAGTCACCAGCCTCTTGGTCCAACTGCGGGTTGCTGCGGATATGGACACAGAGGCTCTCCACACAATCCTCAACAACGCCACCAGGATGATGCTAGAAGTCCTCCGTCCTCACGAGGGCAAAATCAACAAAATCCTCCTGTTTGATAAAGTGAGAGGGCGGGCAGTGAGCAAGAGGGAGAGACTCCGAGCTCTCAGGCATCGTAGCAAGATGTGCTGCATCTGTCCTTGGCAGGGCTGCATGTTCCTCTGTGTGTTTGGACTCAGTGGAGAAAAGCTCCTCTACGAGAGTATTCACGCCTTGCAGAGTGCTATTCAGATCTTCAACTCCTGCTCCACCCTGCTCGGGGAAAAAGAGTGAGTGTGTGAGAGCCTTGTAGCACGTCCCCCCTTTGTCCCTGGCGGGAAGGGAGCAGTGGCCTGAGAGGTGGCAGGCGGCAGCCGTGCGGAGTGCCTCCAAGCACACCCCGCTAGCCCACCGCGCTGGAACGAACCCTCGCGTGGGCGAGAGGCTCCGCGGTGCCGGAGGCAGGACGCCTGGGCGAATGGCCCACGAACGGGGATGGTGCGCAGCCACGTGTCATCGCAGCTGGTGACATCGTGGGCGCCTTCTTCCCTCCCTCTTGGCTCACGAGAGGGCTCTGGCCTTCTGCAGGTCACAGCTCAGGGGATGCGGCTGCAGGGGAAGTGCCCAAAACGTCCCTAGCCCTGTCCCTTGTCCCTTGCAACCCGGGTACGTTGACACCCCCAAGCTCTCTGCGTCCCCGAGACCTGCGCCGGCGGGGCAGGATGGCGGGTGGCCCAGGCTAGCGCCGAGGGGAGGTGCGGGAAGGGACGAAGCCGGGCGAGCAGGACTGCACCAGGGGCTCTGCTGAAGCCACGCTGTTTCCCTGTCTGCCAGGGCAGTGTCTGTCGCAGTTACCGGCGGGACGGTGTTCTGTGGAGTCATTGGCCACCCTGGCAGGCATGAATACACAGGTACGAGGCGTACGTCTGAGGTGCAGGAGCTTCAGCATGGTAGTCTGGAAGAGGAAGGCGGGCGGGGGGAGGGCTTCCGC